GAGTGAGACAATATCTGTTAAGATTGCAGCAGTAGCAACATGTGCTCCTCTGCTGGACATCAGAATGAGAATGAGCACCTTCAGTTGTGGCGAATTTCCTACTCACTGCTCCAGATCTGGGACTCGCTCTGGTTTCAGTGAGAGAAGATCTTCCTCTCCAGGGACTAGAGTAATTTAAAAAAACAAACCAAAACAAAATAAACCCCCACAAAAACAAAAAACCTCAAACAAACAAACAAAAGAACCCAACCAAAAAACAAACCAAAACCCAGATCAACACATGCTTGTTTTCCTGCCAGGAGGTGATTCTTCCAGATTGTGTTTCATAGCACTTCTTGCCCATTAAATATCTACTTCTGGCACTTCCTGTTAGATGCACAGATGTAAATAAAGAGGGATTTTAACTAAAATCACATAGTGATCTTACTTGACTTTCTTCCTTTCTACATCCTCAGAACAAAAGCACAGATTTAGGTCAGCTGAAGTATTCACTAATTGGGATGAATTTACTATTTGGGAATTTTGCTTGCTAAGACACTTCCTCTGCAAGCATTTTACTTTTAAAATAAAAGGAAATAAAAATCAAGGTTGGTTTCAGGCTTTTGTAAATGAAACAGTTTATTTATGATGACACTGCGATTAGCTTTTCTCTCAGTATTATCAATTAAAGTATATGTTTGGCTCTCTTTCTGTAGTTCAGGTTTTACTTTTCTGTTGATCCATCCATCTGCCTGTGTAGTTCATCTCAAAAGATGCTGTCTACTAAATATATTATATTCTTTTTATTTTGTTTTATTTTTTGATATTAAAAATGCTTACAGTCTATGCTGTGGGGCCTAATATTTTTAAAATCTGGCTTCAGATGTCTCTAAAGTACATTGAGAGAAGCAAAAAAAAAACCACCCAAGTATCTCACCTTGTTGATGTCTAGTGAAGGAAAACTGCTTCAGAAAGGAGGGTACTTTTGATGTTAGGTGTAGTGAAGATTACCTTATCAGCTTCTTCCTTCTCTTGCATCTCCATTCCTCTGTCTCTGGGCACATCCAAGGTCAGCAGGTGTTGCACACAGAGGAGCTGGGAGAGCTGGTGAAGGGAAAATCTTCCATCTTTATCCAGACCAGCCCAGCCAAGTACAGGCAGCTTCAGTGCTTGCTTGCTCCATATGATGCCCTACCAGTCTACTTCAGAAGTGATAGAAGACTTGATTTGGGCATGAGAATTTACATTTTAATACTTGGCCTGGCTGGGAAGCTCATCTGAAACCGCCAGCAGGGATAGATCCACACGGATACATACATACTGATGCCTTTCCTGTGGGAGCTGTTATTGAGGAAGTCTGTTTTTCATACCATGAGCAGGGACAGGGATTGAATCTATGGGCCAGAGGCAGGTGAGTTGTTATCTTGTGACCCTCAATTCGTTCTGCTGACCTGGCAGGAATGAGCAGTATTGAATTACATAAAAAACACAGCTATCTGCAATACAAGGAATGATGAGGCAAAAGCAATGCAACTTGAGAAGAGAGTATTGTATAAATGTTTAAAAGCCTTTTAAAGAACTCCTGTACAAGATTATCCAGGCAGTGTACACTGCATTTGTAAGTTACTGTGTGTTTAAAAAATTAATGAAAGATATAATTATAGCAGCATTACCAATGATCATTTCTAAAATGACTCCATCATGAAACTGTAAGCATTTCAGAATTGATTTCCATGTTTCTAATAGTTTTCTGCAAATTAATGACATCCAGCCCTGGCAATAAAAGCCTTGCCTTGTTTCTCCAAGGAAAGGATTGGGAAGCATTTTCTGTTTTCTTAACAATGATTTCACTGTCAGCTATGCATAGAGCCAATTGGGAAGATGCTGTCCTATTAGCTAAGATTTTATGTGGACTTGTAGCTGCTTACTCAGAGGGATAGAACAGAATCTATGCAGTCTAAAGCCAGTAAATTACCATTCTATGTCTTAGGTTGGAGAACCATTGTTAAATTGAGCTTAGTCAGGAAATTGATTCCATCTAAATACCATCTGGGCTCTTGTATTTATTGCTTCTCAAGGACTTCCACATCAGACTGCTTATATGGAAGAATCAAAATATACCTTCTTTGTTGGCTTCTCAAAGCTGGACCTTGAAAACCCAGCTCTCTTGTTCTCTATGCTTCCAACAAGCAATTAAGAGCTTTCAGTTAGATCACAGTAGGCAAAGTATTGAGGCAAAATTTGTAGTACCTCATTCCCTTTCTCCCTGTATTATCTTGATAGTTTAGCTATGTTTATTAAAAAAAAAATCTACCTCCCTTATTTAGTGACCAAAGTAAATAGGAAATGAAGGCACATGGGAATCAGGTAAATTTAATGATCTTCAAAGCGATGTGAGGACTCACCAGTTGAGTAGGGAAAAATAAGGCCCCACGAATCTCTTTTTGCACCTCTTTCCTTGGAACTTGTTTTGTTTCTTTGCTCTTGATATAGAAACCAATATGTAGGAACTGAGCATATAGTGCCAAGCACTTATTGATAGCTGGACACTATGAGTTTTAAAATGTTGTAGCTCTTTGCTGTCTGCCCAAGCCTCTGTTGGGCCTGGCCACCTCAAAGCAGATATGGTGGGAGAGGTCATGTGCATGCACCTTGGCCACTATGGAAAAACATCCAGTGATGCCATTCATAAAACTGAGAAAGTGGAGCTCAGCTGCAGCACCTGGTTTTGTTCAGTCGGGGTTTGTGCCCTGTCATTGTTTGTTTTGTTCTTTTTAATCTTCACAAACAATGAGGACTTTCATCACTTCCCTAGGAAAGCTGCTTGATAGAACCTTGGAACAGCAGAGATCACATAGCACTCTCCTCCATTCCTTGTATTTGCTTGTAGAAACTGATAGAAGCTTCAAATGCACAACAAAGTCATTCTGAGCTGTCACACGACACTCATGGTGTTGGCCAATGCTGTAGGTGGCATTTGGCATTGGTGAGCAGCGCTCACAGGGTGCAGGTGCTTGGCGGCTTCTGTGCTGCTCTTATCTCAGAAGTCTCTTCCACAGCGATTGATTAGCCTTAACGAGCTTATATTAGGGAGGAGAGGGTGAAGTAGAGAAGTTACTACTTTAAGAATCAGCTGACCCAGAGCCATCTCTGCAGTGAAGAGGAAAACCTCTCTCTGTTAACACTCCTCTAATTCCATTTAGTGTAGTATTCTTTCCATCTAAATTATCGCAATTATACACAAAGATCTTCTTTGAAATAATTTAATTAAAGAGTATCTGATGTTCTGTGCTTTTGGAATGCTAATATATTGCCTTCCTCTTAGAAAACCTTGGGTTTTTTTTCATTAATTATCCTGGAAGAATTTCCATGTCAGAAGGAATTGTTTAAAAGCTTTTTAAAATAGATTTTAAAATCAAGCAATTCTGGTGATTTTTGTAAACCACAAAGAAACCTTTTGCTCTCCTGATGGACAGTTAGCTAAAGAACAATCTGAGGAGCAAGATTTTCGTTTTAGATGCATTGATTTGCAAAGTGGTGGATTTCTCCAGCCCTGTCCTCTTCTGGGTTTATGCCAGTGTTTCTCTTTGGTCATGTTCTCTCTTTCTTTTTGCTGTATTTTCCGTGTAATCAGCACCAAATCCTATACTGGTGTAAATCTGCTAGACTAAATTATTTCTGCCTGCTGCATTGCTGTTTTGCAGGGGCTGATGTTTCAGTCATGCAGCACAAACAAGGTTGTATGTGCTGAAAGCAGTTGTAATGTAACAGCTGATGGGACATACCCAGTGCCAAGGAAAAGTGTGGAGGGGAACTGCAGTTAGAATTCCTATTGAGTACAGTTTTGGAGGCTTTCTGCATCCCCCCACCATGCTCCTTCCCATTCCTCCCTTCTCCCTCCTGCTCCCAGTGCTCTGCACCCCATACTGCTTTGGCTTCTGTGGGTTTATCTTGGTCCAGGGTGTGCCTTCTGTGTGGAGGGGCAGGAATTGCATCTTCTCCTGCAGCATGGCCTGAATGCTGTGGTGTTTCCTGTCACTGATACCCTGCAATTAGGGCTACACTAAGAATGGTTCTGGACAGCCAGCAACAATCTACCTAATAAATCCATTCTACCAGACAAGTCCATCCTCACTTGCTCACTCCTAACCTGAGCCACTTGTTCATGACAGCATACAGGTTCTTGTTGTATAATTCCCAAGAATTATACAAGAAGCTTGTCAGCTTAGTGGAGCTTCTCTGTGAGGGAGAACTTGGACATAGACAGGTGTCCACAGCAAACCCACCGCTTCATACTCTCAGATATTGCCCACCCGCCGTTGTCTCCCTGATCCCCATGAGCTGAGACAGGTCTTCAGGGGACAGCGTGATTGATTCCTGGGTGGTTGCTGTTTCATGGAGAACAGCACAATGCAGAGCAATTTTGGTGCAGACTAGACAAGGAGTGAGTGGAGAGCAAAGCCAACAATTCAGTATGATTACATTGTAAACCAAAATCAACTAGAATAAATAATGGCAGCACACTGGGGACACAGCAAGATCTGAATTACAGCGTGGGGTAGTCTTGTTTTCTACTTCTCTTTTGATTTCACAGGAAAATTTGTAAATCTTGTCTTTTTCCCTCTTTCTTTGTTAGTCTGGAATGATTAGAACAAAAATTTTAATCACGTAAGTGGCTTGGGTAAAAATGTACGTTAGTGAAAGACTTGGAATAATGAAAATGTAACATTTACTGTCCTCTAAAACTGCAATAAAGGTGATTAGACTTGGGTTCCATTTTAGTGGATGCTAGGGTCAGAGGAAGACCTTCCTACACAGGCTGTGCATGAGTGTCAGGAAAAGGCTAAACACTCCTGGGATGTTGTAAGAACCGGAAAATATTATTCATGACTGAATGCCATTTTCTGGCATTAAGCTCCAAGACTGTATTGGTTTCTGCAGCTGAGATTAATGAGATGTTATTTGCTGAATGGAAGTATGAGTCTGGCTGACTCTTTCTTTTCTTTTTCTCCCATGCTCAGAGTTTTTGGACACTTCAGCCTCCGTTCTGAGTGGCAGCTGGTCAAGGTGGATTACAAGTCTCTCTTCAGCCGCAGGTGTACCAAGGATGACTACCAGACCTGGCATCTGCACAATCAGGTATCCCCACGCTCCAGGGGGCCTTTGGTGGGGGTTCCTTTTCCCCTGCTCTGAGTTGCCAGGTGGGAATGCAGTTGTTCTTTACAGCAAAGCATATGGATTATTTTTTGCATCCCTTGAAGAATGTGTATGAATAAACATGGGGCCAGGCATCTATGGACAAGTTCAGGAGATTACCTTCTATTTTTAGGAATATAATCCATTGCACCAGCTGGATCTTTTTGGCCTCATTGCTTAGGGCAGTGTGAAACTACACCTTATGATTGAATTGTAGATGACACTGAATTCTTTGTAGCTCTGTCACTGACTCATGAAAATAATTTTGTTTCAGCTTGCCTCTTATTTCCCCTACTCAAAAATGAAAATAATAACATTTATTCATCCTGCAGGTCCTGCAGGTATCTGTAAAACTCTTGAATATCTGTAAAACCCTTGAATCTGAAAAGCTCTTGAATAAAAGACACCATAGAAAACCACATTATTTCATTCTACTCAAGGATACATGCTTTGTTTTTCATACACTGGCTTATTTTCATGCTGGATATATTTAGGTCCTGAAGCAACTGTAACTGAGAGGTCAACAACCTCTGCAGATTACTTATGGGTTACTGGCTACCAGTATGATGTTCCACACCCTGCAGGGTAACTTAGCTAGAGCCAGAACCATTGGCACTGTGACATTCCTGAATGAAATCCATGAATGAGAAATGAACATTAATTTGGCATGGATAAGATAATGGAAGTTGCAGAATTGAATAAATGAAAATAATTCAAATGAAAGAAAAGGGAAGACATATGTGTAACCATGCAGCAGTCTTGGGAATCACTGTTAATAGGGAAGAAAAGTATTTCAATTAGATATTGTCTTTTTTCTTACTTCTTTGCAGACAAATTATTTCTGCTAAATAGAAAATTCTGTTTTTAGCAACTCACCTAGATATCAAATGTTTGTTTTAGGTTAGCTACTCTGGGTAGTGTTCTTGGAAACCTTTGCATTCAAAAACCCCAGTGAAACACACATCAAAATGGTCTGTAACAAAGCCAGCTCTGTCACAGAAAGAGCAAGGGAGTTGAGCTCTGTGTTCCACACCTGGGTTTTGTCCCCTGCTCTGGGATTCAGGCCTGAATCTTCTGCAGTAGACTTTATCTGACATATGGAAGAAACTCTGACATACACCCACTTTGTCTTTTCAGGATAATTCACAGGACTAGATATTGGGGGATGCCTTCTGAAAGGTGGCATAAGTGGGTGAGATGGCTTGGGCATCCAGGCATTTTGAGCACATTGTCACTGGCATCCCAACTCAACGCTGGGCACTCTGTGCTCATGACTCCTCCCAAGGAGACTTTTGATTTTGTAAAGCCACGAAAGAGCAGGACTGTAACTCGCCACCCTCCCAGAGATAAATGCTCGTTTTCATTGCCTTTTGTGTCTTTTCTTGAAAAAGTGCTCCATTTAAGACCCAGCTGCCACTACAACTGTGTTTTCCTCTTGTTCCTTGGCCAATGAAGGGGGAGCCTTGTGTCATGGGCGAGAGGAAGATCTATAAAAAACGCAAGCCTGGAGCCCAGTGTTCCCTAGGTCGGGACTATTCCCAAACTGTGGTGTCTGAACCATGTGTCTGTGGCCAAGGAGACTTTGAGTGGTGAGTATGTGACTCTGGGGATTTGTGCAGGGGCTGTGTTTTTGTCCTGAAATGCTACTCAGACAGAAAACCTTGCAGAGGAGCTGGGTCTGATGCAGCTTTATAGCTGTGATCATACCATATAGCAGGAAGGTGACCCCCAAACCTGCTGAGTGAAGGAGGCTTCCCCTTCTTTTGCAGGAAATATTTGTTCATCTCCATGAGAAATCCAAGCCTGGAATTCAAAAGCAAAATAATTGCAAGTACTGATGGACATTTTATGTCTGTCATTTCAGAATAGTGACAGCCAGGACTTCTCTGGTCCAAAATATATTCCTTTCAAAAGAGGGAGGGTATTTCTCTCCCAAGGTCATTGACTTCCTAGGGGGCAAGCCAGCAAAACATGCACATTTTTATCATTGTTCCTTTGAATAGCTGGGAACAGTTTATTGCTTCTTAACAATGTTTTATTGAGAAATTTCTGATAGGGCTTCTGTGACATGACTGTACAGCCCACCCTTGTCAGATATAACTACTTGTTTTGCATAAATATTGGTGTTTCTAACTTAATGGGACCATAATTTTCAAATTGCTTTAAGGTCACTTTGAAAGCAGCTTAAAAATAAATCAGGGGAAAAATGAGACACTGCTTGCTATTCCTTGACAATCAGAGATAGGAGATGGGAGAATTCATGTCAGGATCTCTGCCCAAGGAATTCCTACATGGCACCTGTGATAGGCAATATTTCTAAGATTTAAGACTGTCAATGTCTGTGATGTTTGAGCTTAAATTATCAGAATGTCATTTAAATGGAATTAAAAATACCTTGAAAGCTGATCAGCTGGGAAAACATTTTAATCTTTATAGTAGGTTACTCAGGATCAGTGTCTGACTCAGTATTGGCATTATTCTTGAACACTTCACCTACCTTCAAATACTTTCTGAAGAGGTGTGAGGCATGAGATCTGTACATTTATTTGGACTTAGGCTCACAGTTCTCTTTTAGAGCATGGACATAGTGAAATGAAAAAAAATTAAGAAAAATATTGACCAGAAATAGTATTTTCTTGAATATTTTAGTAGTTTGCCTTTAAGAGAGAGTCAGGAATATAGAACAGAGATTTTCATCTGATCTGGATGGGTATTTAATTTGTTCCTAATGACAGGATTACGTCTGAGACTCCATATCTTGACTCATGAGGTCTTCCCCCTTTGTTCTCATGATGGGAACTTGCAGGATGCCTTTCTTGCCTTGCAGTATCTGCCCTTGGCATTGGCATAGGCCTCTGGGGTGAATCCAGCACCAATCTCCAGAGATGCTCATGAATTTGGGATTTTTTTTGTTTGTTTTTGTTTGGTTTTTAGGTTTTTTTTTGGTTTTTTTTTTTTTTTTTTGTTTGGTTTTTTTTTTCCTTGCACTGTCTTTTCCTCACCCACTTTATATTTTCACAGGGAAGTTTGTCTTTTCCAAACTGTAAGTGGAAAACTGTGGTAGCTAAATTTGCCTTAAATGCTGCCTTGTAAAGGGTCTGCATCAGAATACACCTTTTCAATCACTTGACAGATTCCTTGCATGCATCCAGTATAATTTTTGCTTAACTTTTCCCCTAAGATGAGAGGGTATTGCTGTTAAACTTGTCAGTCTTGCAGAGGAAATGCAATTAGAGGACAACAAGCTGGCTTTTGTTTCAGACCCTGCACTGCCAACAGAATTGTTAACTAGCTTCCAGTTGCAAAATTGTTATAGCTGGTGATGGAGAATTAGAAGAAACTATGGTGAATTTTGATGCTACTCAGCAGGGCTGACTGGAAGAATGTGTGAGACAGTCCATTTGAGGAAAATACTGGCAATGCTGGAAGTGGGGCACTGAGCTTGATAATTTTAGAAGTGATTTTTCAGAGAGGAAGGGTGAACTTGTGCTCTGATTTGTGACTTCTAAAGTATGAGACACTTAGTCAGTTACAAGATACAGGTTATTCAGAATATATTCTAGATTCATCTGCCTTCCTTGGGATGTCAGTATGAGAAGGGGAGATGCTGACAAGTGCCTTTTCTCTGCTCACTGAAAGGTGGACAGGACAGGTGAAAGGACTGCTCCTACTTTCACTTGATGCTCTTTCAAGAAAAACTCATTCCCTTTCAAGGAAAAATGTCCACTCAGCCTCTTCTGCCTGGGCTCACAGTTGCCAGTTCTTGAAAGAACTGACTGCTCTGTGCAGTCAGCACAGGTCTCTGAGCAGGTCTTGTGGGTGGCAGGGAAAGGGCCAGCAGTCAGGACTGTGTGAGTACAGTGACCAGCAAGTCCTGCCAGGTGGGCCCTCTGCTTTCTCAGGAAGAAGGTTTGGAGCTGGTTCTGGGCTTGGAGCACCCTGTGCCACTTGCTGTGATGACCCCTGCCTTTGAGAGCTGTGGGGAGAGGACCAGTAACTGCAGGAGCCCTTCAGCACATGCTGTGGGGGCTGTGCTCCCTCCCATTTGGTCACAGTGCCCTTGCCCCTGTCTGCCTCACGGTTGCAGTGCTGTTCCCTGCAGTTAGATATAAGGCTGATCTAAAATTCAGGGGCATAAATCACAATTATGCCCCAGTTCAACAAATCTTTATGAGTCAGGATCAGGGGTGACTCTTGCCAACCCTTGCAGTCATTTCCAGAAGCAAATCCTGGCCTTTCTCTAACAGAGAGAATGGCAGAAGGATGTTATAAGTGGTATTAAAGTACTCACTGAGCTTTCTTTTCCCTCCTCCTGCTTCTTTATTTACTCTGTCAAGATAGCTTTCCTGAGAAAGACAGCACAGCAGCTGGACTTGATTATTTCCTTAACTTATGCAAACCCTGGGGCTTATGAGAGGGAAGGTGGGCAGCATGTGAGGTTTTAATATACATTTACCAGAAGTTAATGAACAAGCACAGAACCTTGAGGGCACACTGCAATGTTGTCTTTAATTTTATTAAATATTTATGCAGCTCTTTTCTTCTTTGGGGCAAAGTACAGCTCCTTCTGAATATTTTTAATTACAAAGTCCCTGCCAGGCATTTTTGACTGTGCAGGTCGGACCCACTGAGAATGATTAAATTGAATGTTGAGAGAAAGAGCATTAGGGAATCTCCAAACCATTTAAAGCAGCTCACAGAATTTTTGCCCTCTAAGAAAAGAACAGTAGCAGCCTGGGCCATTGGGGACATAGCACAATTTTGTCTCACCAAAGCTCTTCCTAGAGACTTTCTGTTGGCAGTTCAGGCTCTGAACAGGGAAAGGATAAAACTCAGACTGTCCTAAAGGGCACAGAATGCTTTCAAGACAGTGGCTTCTGTAATGTCTGTGTTTTCACAGAGGTTTAGCATGTTGGCATTTGTTAACTTGCTGCAGGCAAAAATCCAGAATCTCTTTTTATTTGTCCCTTGAATCCAGCCTGTCAATAAAGGCTACACATAGAAACCTGATCCAGACTATAAAAACTTATGGAAAGCTTTGGATTAATCCTATTGCTTCATCATTGTATTGGCACACAAAGGCAGCTGTAAAAAGAAGTTTTGGATGTGTCCACTTCCACTCGTAGGTGGTCCAAGGAAGAATCAATACCCTGGATTGCCTTCCCTGTGTGACACAGTGCCATGTAATCCTTAGACCACAAAGCTGGTTGTGTTTTATTTTAGTGTTGGAAAAACATCAGCTGGGTTTTTTTTCTCTCGGACGAGTATCAGCTTAGCCAGGGAGCCATTAACATACATAAATATGCATACTGTGGCTATTTGCTCAGGGAGTGCTCCCAGTGTTTTATATTCCTAGCCACTGTTGTGAAAAAGTGATATTAGATCTTAGAATTAGCCTCGTTCATTCTAAAAACAAAGGCTGCAAAAAACAAACCAAAAGAACCCAAAAAGTGAAATTTAGGTCAGAGATTAATAAGAATAGAAACAAACAATACAATATTCTTTCTGAATCTCTGTCATGTTTTGTTGCCAAATGAAGCACAAGTCCTGCAGTGCTCTGCAGGTTTGGCAGTTCTGCTGTTGTGGGGATCAAATGCCTTCAGTGAATTGTGTTCCTGCCCCTCAAACTAGTCCAGCACTTTGCCTCTGGATGAGCCAAATCCATGATGTTGTGCCATCCCAGCAGAGAACCACCAATACACACCTGCTCTGGGGACACCACCTAAAACTCTGAGCTACGGTAGTGGAGGGTACAGTGATGGATTTGTGGCTTCTCTCCACAGTGACTATGGATATGAGAGGCACAGCAACAACCAGTGCGTCCCAGCCTTCTGGTTCAGCCCATCCTCCCTGTCCAAGGATTGCAACGTTGGGCAGAACTACTGGAACAGCACTGGGTAAGGGCGTCTTGCAATCTGTCTGGTTCTGGTGACTGCAGTAGACAAGAGAACCTGGATAGTTCTTTTTTTCTCTGCATCCCATTATGTTCTTTTTCAGTCTTATCTATGAGGTGATGTTTGCAACAGCATCTGTATGGAAAATTGCCGTGTTCCTCAGAGAGAGGGAGAGGCATGTTAACATAGGTGACACATAGATATTGCATTGCTATCAAGTGATGTGTGATCCCTGGAGCCTAGACTTGGAGCTCCCCTTTGTTGCAAAATTAAAACACAAATCAAAAAGGTCTGCCTGAGAGACAGCTGAACATTTAAAAGGACAGGTTTGAGGTATTTCACATTGTATTTTATTGAACCTCTTACTATCTTACAGCTCCTATTTATATCAGCTTCTGGAAAGGCTCAAATGAGCAATTTTTAGCCTCTTTTATGTTTCTTCCTCTGCCATTTTCACTTTGTACATACAATGCCTTGCATTTCAGACAAGCTTTGTGTGCTCATTTCTCCTGGTCTAACCCAGAACAGATGGCAAGTGTTGGTTTATTATGGCAGTATCACTTTGCAAATGTTCTACTATCATGCAGGAAATGCTGTGAGACTTTAGTTTCATTGGCTGGTGCAAACTGGCTATGTTGCTTCCATGACAGGGCAGGCCCTGCAAGTTTAGCAGGGATGATTCTGGGTCGTGTGTCCTGCCTGCTCGATGCCTATGGCAGGAACCAGCTCTGTTCCTGGCTGGTTGGTGCAGGTGGCTGGACGAAGTGAGGCTGCTGGGAGTCTGGAGGCATTTGACCTCAGAGACACCCTTCAGCTGAAAAGTTGCTTTAAATATGGGATGTAATTACAGGAGCCCTGGCCACTATGACTGCTGGTAGCCTTCTTGACAGAGAGCAACAAGAAAAGAGTTGGGGTTGGTATGGAATTAATAGTAAGGGTTAACCCCCCTCAACCACACCAGGAATAGCCAAGTGTCTTGCTGTTTAGCCAACATCTTCCAAGAAGAGCCAAGAGAAAAATCCGTACCTCAAATAATTTTAAAACTGAGCTGGTCAAAGCCTTTGACATATAAGCGCCCTCTAGCCCAGTAGAGGCACACAAAACCTAATAAATGGTATAATTAAAAATCTGGGATGCAGGATACAATCCTGCAGGTGTTGGGTTGGAGGAATTCTCTGCCTTTTTTTAAGGCAGAGTAATTCACCTCCACAACGTGTCTCTTCTCAATGATGCTGCTGAGAATCTCTGCAGAAGGTTCAATTGTGATTGGTTTGGCTTTCTCCTACTTAATGAAATGTTGGGTTTCTTTGAGTCTTCCTTTCAGTGAGGGGATCATGCAGGCAGTTAACCTTTGAAAAAACACATGCATTAATGTGGAGGGACAAAACAAAAACAAACCAAAGGAACTTTTCTGCCCACTGTGTGAGCCCAATGTCCTTTTGTTACTGTTCCCCAGGTACCGCAGGATTGTGTCTAACAACTGCACAGATGGCTTGAGAGAGAAGTACATGGCCAAGATGGAGAAATGCCCTGGAAAAGCACCTCGGGGATTGCACATCCTCACCTCCGATGGGAAGCTGGTCATGGAGCAGGGGCACAACGCCACCTTCATCATCCTCATGGAGGAGGTGTGTTAGTGGTCTCAGCAAACCTTTCTCTGTGTGGCAGGACTGGTATTCTTTTCCTTTGCTTTTCAGGTTGCTGAGAGGGAATCATGAAATGGTGAGTGGTCCTGAGATTTATGAGACTTAAGGAATTTAAGAGAATTGAAGGCTATAGTGACACACACAAGATGGTCATATTGGGTCACACCAAAGTGTTTGGTTATCTTGTCTATCAGTGATGATGTTAATGCTGAAGAAAGATAGATATGGTCAAAAAATTTATTTCCGCACTCACTTCTTGCTGCTTCCAGTAAACTGCAGTTTATGGAGTTTATGAGGCAGAAGTGGTGTTTCTGTGATCAATAATTCTGTATCTGGGATGCAAAGCTTGACTTCAGCTTTTCTGGGAAAGGTTAAGAACAGTGGGGTACATGTTCACACTCATGGGGAACAATGAAGGACATTGTTATTTTGCAGTAGGAATTGACTCTCCTCAAAGCACCTCTAGCCCCAGCCCTTATCTATTGTAGTTATCTGTTGGTACACTTCCTTCTGTAGCCAACAGTAGCACAAGTGACACCAGGCCATGATGTTGCCAAAAGTATCAAAATGTTGAGGCTCTTCTGGCCAGGGACTGAGTTGGTACTGGAGAAGAACAGCTGGTTTTTGTCACATTTTCTGTCCTGTGTATGTTACTTTAGAGCAGTACCTGGAGACAGCTGAGGCAGACCACTCACAGACAGACACATTCTCACACTAAATTAAATCCTTATATAGTAGCTAAGTATTTCACTGGGACCACACTAATCTGACAGGGCCTCTTTACTACTTCCTCAGAGGTTCATGCATGCTCTGCTTTTATACGAGGGGGATTTCTTGTCTACTTGCTGCTTCTTTTCTATTCTGCAGACTTGACATGGTAAGACAATTTGTGTAGATGCTATGAGTGGGAGTTCAGAAAAGAACAGATACAATCTAAAAATTAGGAATCAACTAGTAATTTATTAGGGAGCTCAAGTGGAACTGCTGCATATGAAGAATGATAAACAGATGGGGAATAAGGCAGCAGTCAAGGTAGCTAAAGAGTGGAATCTTTGCAAGGATTTAGAGATTGAAGAGGCAGCTGAATTAATATGTGAGGGCGTTCACTCTTGTGTCTGTTGTTGAAAAATAATGGTAGTTAGAAAAACATTTCATTGGAACAACCTTTTATTTTTTCTAAGGGAAGAGGATCTTTGGAACATGTCTCTGTAGGTGAACAGCTTATTCCACAGAAAGTTGTGTGTTGAGTTTGTTTCTTAAAATAATAGAATTTCAAGAAGAAAATAAAAGGAACACTGAAATTTTGGACAAAGGTATTCCAGTCTTTTAGTGTGAACCTGAGAAGAATTGTTACCAAAGATTTCCTTATAACTTGGAAGAAATAATTTCTGTAGAGGTCTTAATTATTACTTTGCTGGCATACAGATTAATTCCTGGCTTCCTCCACCTTTTCTGGTCAGTCTCTTTACTGGTGGTAGTTTTGTACCTAAGTTTACACTTCCTTTCTGAGCCAAAGAGCAGCCTGACCAGCCCTCCTGTGGATACATCTCTGTGGTCTCCATTCAGCTGTGTTGGACTTGCCCTGATGAGCCAACAGTTCTTTGCTGCCTTCTAGTGCACATCCTCAGTATATGGAGGTGACTGACCTTTAGGCGTTCAGTGATGAAATGAAGACTTGATCATAGTCAATCAAAACCTGAATTTCTCAGGATTTATAGAATTAACTTTAGTAGGATTCTTTCCAATGGTATTAGGAATACATGTGTGGCAATGACTGCAGACAAATAAATGCAGAATGACTGATGGTTTTTCTGTGTTTTCAGGAATATGGGGCTGGACTGAGATTTGGACTGTATATATGCAAGGGAACATGAGGAGATAAGAACCTTATTAGACTTTTTTTTTTTAATCTGAGTTTGTTTTTGATCACAAAGAAATACTAGACTGTCAAATAGCTGTTGTGGAGTTGTGTTCTTGATCATGTCTGTTCCCTGATTTCTGTACTCGGAGTCAATCTTTGTGACAGCCCATACCTTGTTCCCTTTCAGTTATTTATGGGGCTTAAAGCAACCTCCACTTCCCTTCTATTTTCATTTATATTTATAAACCTCAGAATATCTGACATCTTTGTCTGGGACTAGCATGCTTGCATTAGTATTTTATGTACTGGATACATGGGTATGAAAAGGAGAAAGAAAACATGATTAGTGTGAAGGGCAGCCTTTGCATTGAAGACCTAGCTCATAATTGGGTGAAAAGATCATCTGCCACTGTTTAGTAATGAAAAATCTGTTCCTGCTTCTCTGCGTGAAACAGTCTCATTTCAGATAGAATCATATTGGAGAAGCAAGAAGGAAATAGAAAAGAGAATTGTCAGGCAAGGGAGATGAGCTACCATGACTGGTGCAAGAGATTTCAGCCTGAGGTCATCAGTGATGAATCCAGCCCAGATCAAATTTTTATCCTCTGTTCAGTATCTTCCATATGAGATGGACTTGGGGTCTTAGTGCATTCCCTTGAGAAGTGGTTTGAAAGGTTTAACAAGCTGTGGGAGCCTTTCTATCATATAACTGAATATCTCAAGAGTGTAATTTTGCTCCTGCTAGAGAATTTTTTAGAGTGACTTTAAAAACTCTCTGTCTAAAGAATGTTATTGACTACTCAATATAATAGGTAGTTTTAGTGTCAGTACTGCTTTAGTCCTTTCTGATTGCTCTTTGGTTTATACTGAAGTTTTAATGTCCAAGGAGGGCAGAGGTGAAAATGGCGCCCTGATCAAGTCAATAGCCAAAACTCCCCTGGCTCCCTGGGATGGGAATGATGGAGCAAGGAGGAAGAGAGATCTAACATATATAATCAAATACCCATATTTCAAAACTACATGCCATAATCCTGACTGTATGACTGTGTGAAGACTCCAAGTATATACTCAAAGTAAATTGATATCTGAAAAATACCCTTCCTGCCCTCTGATTTCTTCATGCAGGTATAGTCTATGAGGAGGATAAATTCAGTGAGGGCTGCTAAGGTCCTGATTTTCTACACGTGGGACCTGCTTCATTGTGGTCTGGCTTCCTGTATGTTCTCCCTATGCATTTACTGCTATAATGAGATTTATGAGATGACTGTAAAATATTTCTGAATTTCCCATTAAAAAAGGTAAATTCATGAACAGAAATTTAATATTTTTTTAAAAACTTTCAGATCACGTCCTCCATATATGTAGGGATTGACTTCAGCCCTTCAGGGCTAGGAATATCTCCAAAATGTAGTGGTATCTTCTTCACCCCCAGTGAATACAGTGGAGATCTTCGATGAAAGAAAATTACTTGGCAAAACACATCTTATATTTATGCAGAAAGCTAAAGCTAGAGAAATTGAATCTGAGTTGTAGTTTTATTTCAGTTTAGTGAAATCACTGGAGTGGGCTTTAGCTTTGTTGAAATTAGCCTTATTTTGTGTTACATTAGTCAGCTGGGGGCAAGTATAAAATAAGGCTCCGAGAAACCAAAATAACAGACACTTCTACAGTTCAACTACAGTGATTTAAAGCATGATTTAAACTAAAATAGTGCAACTTCTGTCTCCAGACAATACCTGTGGTGCTGGAATTTCTTGTCCGTTTTTCCCTCCTTCATTTAATAACTGTCATTGACAGTAATCCTAGAAGAGATTTTCTCATCATCTGCTTCATTCTCCTGTGTATCCAGGCCCTGTCTCTGTGTTGACTGACATGAGACAAAAAAGTCTGTCAGTCCTCGACGTGGGACTCAACCTGTATTAATTCATCCATGCTGAAGCTTCATGTCTAGATGAAACCGGTCTTCTAAACTCTGTACAATCAAGGGTGGATATTTGCAAGAGGTTATTCATGTCACCTGTTTTAGCTACTTTAGGATGAGGTATTGGTTTTTTGCTGTCTGTGTCTGGCCACCTTAGGGAATGACAGAACAAAGCTCGGCTTTTTTTGAAAAGTTACTACTCTGTGTCCATGCTAATGAAATGGAACTGAGATGGAAGGTAATATAAATCCTTTTATATCAGTCCAGTTTCCTATTCCAGCCTTCTCTGTTGCAGGGTGATCTCCAAAGGACAAATATCCAGCTTGATTTTGGAGATGGCATTGCAGTGTCCTATGCCAATTTCAGCCCTGTGGAGGATGGCATCCGGCACGTGTATAAGAGTGCTGGAATCTTCCAGGTGACAGCGTATGCAGAGAACAGCCTGGGTTCAGACACTGCTGTCCTGTTCCTGCATGTGGTCTGTGAGTACTTCCACCTGCCAGATTCCCTGGGCCAAAATATGACCTCACTCAAAGTCTCAGCAGGGCCCAAGAATAGGTGCAAACCCACAATGTGCAGCTCATGCTCTTCCAAAGGCTTGGGCTTCTAGATGCTCCTCTAACTTGTTAAATAGACTTTATTGAATGAAGGGAAAGAGAAGGGTTTTTTTTTAAAAACAAGTGTATTTGCAGTTCTGAGAGTTATGGAGAAAAGTTTGAAAATGTCTACTGGGCTTTCTGAAAGGGTCAGAGACCAAGCAGCTTATGGAACAAAGTCCAAATGTGTCTTTTCAATACATGTTTAATTCTAAGAGAATTAGATTAAACTAAATTTTGAGTCACTTATTCAGAATTTCAGCATTTACAGTGCTAATTTAATGAAATAGAAGCATTGTGCTGAGCGTGCTTCCTGAGATATGAATGTACTGAGGGCTAATGTGCTGCTTTTCACATTTCATGTGTTTGACGTGCATCCCTGATGTTTCTGTCCTGTTTGGTAGATCAATGCAATTTCTCTCCTGCTGACACATGAGCAAACTCAAATATAGAGCTCTGAGTTAACTTCCCAAAGCCACAGGAGAGAGCAGAGTGTGTGGAATGTAGGATGAGACCAAAAAGAGCCCAGTTCTTTGATCTACTCTTAGATTATTAGATCTTCTGTGTTCAGATGCACCCCATTAATTTTGCCCATAATGGTGATCATAGTCTTGTCTGCCTTCCCTCTTTACTTGTCAGAATGTCTTACATCCTGCCTTTTGCTTGAGCTTTTCTGCTGAAAGGAAGCAAATTAGAAATTTCCAAAACTCAAGAACTTTTTCTCCATTTTAATTTCCAGCTCCCTGTATGAAGGAATAAATGTTCCTTGAAGCTTTTATTATGCTCATAATTCCCTCAAAGTCAATCATGGCTGCACTTAACAACCTGTTATTAGAGCATTAACTGTTTTTTCCTTCACCTTGGGCCATTAGCTGACAAAAGTGATGGTTACCTGGTAATAACAAGCAGATTTGTATGGATTATCTGATTTTTCTCAAAGGAACTACTTTTTCATGGTGAGGATTTTAAAGCAGAATGCAATAAGTGACAGTTCCTTGGCCTGGTTTTGCTGCTCCACCCTTTTTTACATCAGCCTTTCAGATCTCTCCTTTGACTTTTATAGCATTCTTAGGTAGCCAATTTATTATCATTATCTCTGGGGAAATATTTTGCAAGCACTTACATTCATGCTAAGGCTGAAATAAGATGACACCTCAGTACTAAACTTCTAATAAGTGGAAGTACTGGTCAATATAGGAGGTTTGACCTTGAAGTTCAAATCTACAGACAAATATGCCTGAGAATCATTCTTACTATACAATCACTCTGGTACTGGGATCCTGTGCTAAAAAAAAAAAAAAAAAAAAAAAGAGAAGAAAAGGCTCCTTGGCCTCAAGCAACATTAATTTTCTACCCTGCAGCTTTATTAGCAGCCAGTTAACTTTTCAGCTTTCTGGAATCTGCTGCCAAGCTGCTTAACTTGATATTTAAAGGAAGCAAAGATAATAGTGTTTTTCCTCTTACATGCGCCACCACAAAATATTTAGGGGAACCTGCTGTTGTTGCAAACCCAGAGTACTTCCTGTGGTCAGAGTTCAGGAGTGACTTGCTGATAGAGATCTCTCGGGAAAAGGGGGAAAAAAAGGATCAAGTTTTAAGTTGCCAGAAGCAAGAATAGGGTCCTTTTGTGCTTGGAGCTCTGTGTTCCAGTGGTAGAAGCTCTTACTTTCCACAATCTTTGTAATTCAAGTAGATGGAGAACTGATTAATGTCCCCATTTCGTGCTGAGAGGTAACACAAGAGGATTGTCTCAGTTAAAATCACCACATTTCCTGCTTCCCACAATGAATGTCTAACAAAAAAAGAAAAGATTATGACTTTTCTTATTTTGTCCTTTCCATCTCACAGGGATAGTCTGTCAGTTTGCTGTGTTTTAAAGGTACTATCCAGAAAGTAACACTGTCTGATGGGCAGCAGTTATCAGCTGAAATTCAGTACCAGCAAAACCAAAAGATAAACAAGAAGAAAAACAATGGAGATAGGAGAAGCTTTGAACAAACTATCAAATAAAACCTCAGTATTTTCTACACATGTTGTTTTTTCTAGAGAGGATCTGCCTTCTGAATTCAGGGCTTCATGCCCTGGATTTATTCTGGGCATTTGCATTTATTACATACAACTTTGCATTGGTACTTTGTTATTTTTTAAGTCTTTCAGAATCAAGCGCTCCTGACAATTACATGCTTTGTTATGCCAATGCACACATCTTTCAAGTGGTTCCTGATGTTTTCTAGGGGCAACTGACTCCCCAAAGACTTCCCAAGTTCAAGTCTAAGTCAAAAAGATACCAAGGATTTCCAAAATCATGAGTCTTTATTTTGGAGACCTTTTAAAAAACTGTTTGGGGTATTTAATAAAGTCATAAATGACTCTTATATAACCAGATTTAAGCCATCTTGGCTAAAATGATTTCCCCACAAATCTTAGTAGCTCAGTGACTATATTTTCAAGAAAAAACTTCTTTCTCACTTGAGTCCTATCCCTTTCTTGTGTCCTATCCCTTTCTTGTGTCCTATCCCTTTCTTGTGTCCTATCCTTATGGCTTTCAATAGCAACTTCACTATATAATGCAAAGCCAGTTCATTGTTTTTCTTCCAAATGCATTTAAAAAATTCTTCTAAACACAGCACTGCCCCTCTCTGGAAATTAGTGCTATGGAAAATGTATATAATGGGGTGGGGAGGAAGTATTTTCAAATTTGATTATCTTTTTCTGTTGTTCATTGACTGCTGAAATTCTCATTTATTTCTAAAATATAAATAGACTGTCACTAGACTGTCACTGCTGACACAGGACTTTTGATTTATTTAAAAGAAAAATCCTTGCTGTTCACAACTGTGCAGGGAGGATTTAACTCAAAGCCTTTAATAATGAGTTCTCTTCCCACAGGTCCAGTGGAGCACGTCCATCTGAGTGTTCCCTTTGTTGCCATCAGAAATAAGGATGTCAACATTACTGCAGTAGTTTGGCCCAGCCAGGCAGGAACACTTACCTACTTCTGGTGGTTTGGCAACAGCACCAAGGTACAGGCACACTTTGGTTCATCTTTTTTTCCTAAGCTTGTCACAACAGTCAGGGAACTCTCTCAGCTGTAATAAAAACTTCTTGCCTTTGTCTGTTTTGTGTTTTAGTTTTTAACTTGGCTGAAGAGGGTTGTCATTATCTGAACTTCAACCTTTGTGAATTTATTTCCTTCTGTCTTGTGTTGTTCTTAGGAGCTATTACTTTCTCCATCTGGTTGTTATCAGCCCTACTGAGATTTGAAGACCACTGTTATTACCAGCGTTCACTTGCAACTTAACTGAACTATATGTGGAATAATGCTGGCTTTCAACACAGTGTTTAAAAACTGCTGGTGTTCAAATAACCAGGGGGGTTTCCATTATGTGCCAGTGTGCAGTACATAATGCTGGATTCCAGCACGGTACTTTAAAGCTCTTGGTGTTCAGATAAACAGGTGTATCTAGAATTTCAAGCTGAAGAGTCTGCCTATGTTAGAGAGGGGGATGAGACTTCTTTGTAGTGAATTTTCAAATTATGTGTATTGTAACTGTATGTATTATAAGGAGCTTTTTTAGCAATAGTTAAAATAAGTGAAAATACAAGTTAGTGTTATGCTTTCAAATGGAGAGAGCAGGATTGCCTATTAGCTACAGTTTTTATTGTGGACTTTAGGAGTGAGACAGGCACTGTTCTCCATTCTTACAGTTGTGAAATGTACAGCTGTTAATTTCACAATGTAGTTTCTGCTGTTATTTACAAAAGCAGTTTAAAACATGTCACTGTCTACATTTGCAATTGAAGGTGTGCACTGAGTTGAGATTGCAGAAGAAAGAAAAGGGGATTTTACATGAAATATGGACCTTGAGATAAAAAACTGGCACACAAGTATTTTGTGTTCTCTTTGAAAAGCTGCTTAGTTTTAACCTCTTACCCTAGCTACCAACAATATCAATAAAGGCAAAATAAAAACATTAAGTGCTGCTTCTACTGGGATTTTATATCCAGTTAGGAAGTTCACTGTAAGAACTTGATGATTTTTGTGGAAGCATAGTTGAGGCAGTGGAAGAACTCAGGACCAAAAGCCATTTACTGTAACTTGCCAAGTTACAGTGCCCTAGCTGAACTATGGCAACCACCCACATATGCACATCCAGTCCATGGCAAGTACCAGGTAATTCCACATAGTTTATACTGCATTGAAATACAGGGATGCAAAATCATGTTACAGTTAATATTTTTGGCTTAGTGCTCACACATGGAGAACCATTAAAGTACATCAGAGATAATTTAGGTACTGGTAACTTGATCATCTGCTTAAGCCCTCCAGTGTAGAGTTTTCCTGCCATTGTTTTTGTCCTTACTATATAAGTTGATTGGGCCTTAAGAAAGATTTTTTTGAAATAGAAAGCAATCTAGAAAAGGTAGTGCAAAGCAATGGTGTTTGCTGAAGATTTCCATGCAGTTCTCACAGTGCTTGCTTCTGGGTTGGAAATATGATCTGTTTCATCTTCTAGTTTAAATTTCAGGCCTGTAGGCATCAGAGTACAAGCAGATGTGGATGTGTTTGGGATGGGTACTTTGGACATAGCTGAACAAGGAGTAGCTGGTCCTTTGACACCTTGGCATGATTGTACTCATTGCTGAAATATGGAAGAGTAAACATGGTGCCCCTTACCTGTGTCTGAATCTCAGACCCAGAGCACTGTTCAGTCTTTGCAAAGCATTATTTCCAGATACCTCATGGAATGTACTACAACTCTGACAGAAGTATGCCAAGAGATATAGACATAACTGTATCAGCCACCTTTTGTCAGAACAGCAGTCTGTATCACATCAAAATTCCTCCTGGGATGTTTAAGGTGTATGTCAGATCCTTCTCAGTGCCCACTCATGAGTAAACTATGGTGGTTCCGAGTAGAGGTGAAAGATGGGGACACTGAATTGAAGGATGAGGTGTGTAATATTGTGACTGGTACTGTTAGATGATAGGTTTTTGTTCCATGCTGAGGGATTGCAACTTCTTTTCCTGTTCAGCCCGTAGCCATCCCAGGCAGAACCAGATGTGTCTCGTGTCACTTGCAGTCTCACTCTCTGTGCTACTGCACAGGAGAATATTGTCTTAGACACAAATGACCTGGCTGAGACTCCTCTGTTGCTCTGCCCACCCTGCAGAAACTCCGCTACTAAATTTCTACTGTTATGGTTTTTGCAGTATGCCCAAAGGCCAATTTGCCTGGATTAACACAGGTCCAGTTTAATAGATGTATCCAGCTGTCTAATAGGCTTGAGCAAATGAACCTTAAACTACTTGATTTAATTTAGAGTTAGTTTCCAGGTCTTGATTCTTGAATTAAAATTAAGGAGTTGGCTGAATGTTAAAACTCCATGATGGAAGTGAAATCATCCATGATAATGGAATGTCCAGCATACACATATACAAAAAGAAAAAAATGTAATTTTAAAGGCCAGACTGCATCCTCTTATCTGCCGTTGCACAGAACCACAACCTGTAACCTCCAGGAGGATTGCTGATATCACTGCAGTTTGATAGAGGCCCATTCAGCTTCTCCAGGGTCTGTGTATATCTCAGTAAATGTTAGCTGGGCCTCCAGGGCTGGCACGAGCTGGTGCCCTTGGACTGTGTGTGCCATGTGATAAGACTTTTTGTTTTTTGCTGCTTTTTCAGCTCATGGATGAGGGGGTCTAAGGAAGGTGGTGTTCTAGAGAGACAGAAATGTGTTTGCAGGTCTTGCCTGTGCAGGTGGAAATTTTGATTTGGCTATGAAAATGGCATTTGTGACCACTGTTGTGAAGTGCAGTCAGGCTGGCAGCATGATGAGATAAATTGTGAGAGCTGGAAGGTGAAATTAGGAAGTTTTCCTTTAAAAACCAACTGGAAGTGCAGTGAAGGGACAACAGCAATGGTACAATGGCTTTATCTGTTCTCTTAGACCTCTGTGTTTTTTGCAGTGGAGATTAGTATCACTGTTTCCATTTTTGTAGTTTCTCTAAATAAAGAGTTATTTCTGTAGACCAGCTGTCAGATCAGTGGCACGGTGAAGGCTGGACTTTTGATTTTCAGTTGAGGTGAGTTGACCCTGTTTAGACACCAGCTGCCCACTAAAGCCAGTTTATCACTCCCCTCCTCCCATGGGCAGGATACATAAAATATAACAAAATCAGGTCACAATAATGACAGAGAAATGCTACTAATTACTGTTAAAAAACAAAACAGCCTTGACTTTATGATATTAGTGTAATTTATTATCAATCAAATCAAATAATGAGAAATAAAACCAAATCTTAAATCACCTTCCCACATCTCTCCTTTCTTCACAGGCTCAATTTCACTCCTGAATTCTCTGCCTCATCCTTTGCCAGCAGTGCAGGGAGACAGGGAATGGGGGTTGTAATCAGTTCATTATGTGTTGTCTCTTGCAATGCTTCCTCCTCAGGGGGAAGACGCCTTCCACTCTTCCCCTGCTTTTGGGAGGGAGTGCCTCCCATGGGAGACAGTTTTCCATTGATTTCTTCAATGTGGGCCCTTCCCATGGGCTGCTCTAGGGTGGATCCCTTCCACAGCCACATTCAGTCGGTACTGTCAGCGGGAATTATGCCATGCTTTCAGCCTAGTTAGCACAGCTTGCCAGCTTGTGGCTGCAGCTTGCTTACAAACTCACAGCATGGACAGGGCAATGCTGGATGTCCTCACTCTGACCTGAGCAGTGTTGCTCTGTGAGAGATAAATGGATTTGTGCTCATAAAAGCAAAGTCTGGCCCTGAATCTGAACAATATGGATTGTTTGAAGAAGCATCTGCATCTTTGGTTTATTTTCAATTTGAGGTTGGGTTTTGTACAGCAAATATAGCAGCTGAGCTGGTTGTGTGTGTACAATGCTGCATTCTAGTGCACTAATTCTGCAACTGCTGACTGTGGTCTGCTGATGAGTCCATACAATAATGGGTTGCAGTTCAATGGAAGAATATTTCAGAAAATATTTACTGAAATGAGAGAAAGCTCTGCCTGTGGGACACTGCTCACAGGATTTGGGCCTTAGCAGGACATGCAAACTGGCAGCACCACACCTGTATCAAGGAGCAAGGCTGTTGCCTGGTGGATTAATCAGGTGCATGTTGTGATCTTGAGTTAATCTCACCCTGATTTTGTCATTTGTGTTTGCCTCCTACAGCCCCTCATCACCTTGGAGAGCAGCATCTCGTACATGTTCACTGTGGAGGGGATGAACACTGTCACTGTGCAGGTTGCTGGGGGCAACACCCTCATCCAGGACACCAAGGAGATCGCAGTGCATGGTACCCTCAGCCTTTTGCAGTTGCATCTCAGGGGGTGAAGGGCAGACAGTCATTGCTGATCCAGAATAACTCTAGGAACTTGGTAATGCCTGGAGGAACCTCTGAAGACAAACCTCTGATGACAGAGTAGCTCAGATATGTCATGATGACAAAATACAGAAGTTAATAGAATGATGCAGCTAATGAAAATTACAACCTCAGCATTAATAAGGTGGCTGGTGTCTTCTGTGCTTGTTCATCTGTCTGTACACCCAGACAGGGAACTGCCAGAAATAAAAACACTTGAACCAGACTGCATTCCTTCATCTTCCCAGCTGTGGAAAGAAATAGTCACAGTGCATGACTAAGGTGATCTGAATGCAACTGGTGTCTCTATCAGCGACTGTACAAATGACAGGGGTCAGGAAGTGTCTGGAAAAGAGGACAGAAAGGACTCTGTTGTTGGTATCACTGCCCATCTTTCCTGTCACAGCTGGAGGTCTGAGTATGCCCACTGGACTTGCCCATGTGTAATGTTTGGAATGTTCTTGCCATATCTGCATGTCATGGGCTTCAAAAAGCACCCTTTGACAGACAACAGAAACCCTGTTTGGGGCTTGATAAATCCTGGGTGAAAGGGCTCTCTCAGCAGCTTTGACCAGGACTTCTAGAACAGTTTCCCCCCTGGCCCAGTCTTTCTTTTCATTATCCAGTTTTTGGCATTCAGCATTTGAGAGCAAGCTTTTCTTTGGACTTCAAGTTTTGTTGAGAAACCTGGGTTTCAAATAACTTGGGCTAATTTGAAGCTCAGCAATGTGTATTTGCACTGTGTGTGTCTTATTGCAGTAATTAAATACAAATAAATGTCCCACTGTATACTCAGATTTAATAGCAGCTAAATAGATATTTATTGATTGTCTGGCCATGAAATTCAATAGCCTTTAATAATTTGATAATGTGATTTAGTAATAACTTGACTTGCTATTATCAAATATTAGGAACCTTCTACTTCATAATTTTGAGCACTGCAAAATGCAGTGTTTACTTGGAAATTTCCATCCTTCCATTAGTTTCTAGAATAAACCTGAATCAAATATATTTAAGAATGATATCCACAGGTGATCTTGATCTTTAGCCCCGTAGCTCCTCACTCTGTTTTTAAACACCTTGGAAAAAATTTTGACATTATGTTCAGAAGATCCAAAGTTTTGGGTTCTATCACAAAGAGAAATGAACCCATTTGATCCAGTCCAAATAGTCCTATCCAGTGCTGTGCTGCAGACTGACCTGGTCTAAGGAAGAAGTCCTTCCAGCCCCTCAGTCTGGTGGTGAGTTCAAGTCTGAATAAATGAGTGATGCCTTTAGTAAACATGTCCTCTGATAAACTTGTATCCTCATCTGTGTCCTGAGTCAAGTGATTATGGGTCTAGGCCATAATATAGGCATGGATTTCTGGTGTTATCAGTTGAGGAGATATATTCAGGTATATCCTTAATTTGAGATTAACAGAAAAGAATTTGCTCAAAAAATAAATTGGACATGGAACTAAGGGCTCAAAAGTCAAAGACTTTATATATCTGACTCTGGGTTAAACCTTCAGAACCTGGTAGACTTTCTCTGTGCTCTTTGATACTTGTTTTATTTAAAAATATATTGCACCGTCTAAAAAAAAAGAACAGTTCTTGCAAAAGGTGCCTCATAAATGGTGTGCTGGAACATCTCTGCTTTTCTGTGGATTTCCTCATTTATACTCTGGCAGGTTTATCTTGATCTAAAACTAGTGCCTTCTTACAAATGATTAATGGTACTTATTTGAAGTGTCTGGAGATCAGTTGCTTCAAGGTGAGGCACAGAACATCTCCAAAATCAGAAAGGAGAATCTTTTACACTGAAAACTTTCATAAGAGTGTGTTTCCCATCCTGGATCTTTGCCTCCACTGGCCCAAATCCCTTGTGCACAGATGCCATAAGGGCTCCAGACTTGGTCTTTGGTGAGACCAGCAGGGAGAGTTGGAATTGGAGACAAATTTAAAATCATTCTGTATTTTAAGTCTAGGAAGCTTTTCTTCCTCCCAGCAGTCATTCAGTCAGGACAGAACTTCAAAGTGTTCTGTCAATAGCCATTGCTTGATGAGCCAGTCATTACCACCACTGGGTTCTCCTTTGTTGGGGAATTAACCACTCCTGGTTTCCCTCTAGGAGGGTAAACAGAAAACATAACTTAGAGCAATTGTTCACTCTGCAATTGTACAGACAGACCTTCCAAATTTCAGCCAGGTGCTGCCTTGTTTGCTGGTCATCCTTCTTGTAAGCAGAATCTGAAGTTGAGTAAAATTACAAAGCCCAAAGGCATCACAAAGGATCCTCTCACCTCTCTCATTCTCACTTCTGTTTCTCTGGGGAAAGCCAGAAATTGGCAACAGATCAAAACATCCTTTATAAGTACCACTATAAGCATTCTTTCCTTGCAAGCTCTGTCCTGCTTAGTGTTAGCCAGCCTTTTTCTTCCTTCAGCCTTTTCTCACTCTCTTGCTTTAAGATAGTTATGGTCCTCCTGTTGTCTTCTGCACCCTTGTCTGTACACTAAACACTGCCCATTTAATCTTCTCATAAAGACTTTTTCTATTGCAGAATATTTCCAATCTCAGCTCCTGTCATTTTCTCCCAACTTGGATTACCATAACCCTGACATCCCTGAATGGAGACAAGATGTTGGCAAAGTCATCAAGAGAGCACTAGCACAGGTGAGCGTCTGTTTCCTTGTCTGTACTAACATTGACTAGGCTGTTAAAACATGCACTTTTTTGACATGCTAGCTCAAAAGAATGGGTAAGCACAGCACCGGTGATGGCACTGTCATTAAAAATCAATAAAAAGCTTCTTAATATTCTGGATCTTTTTACAGAGCCAATCTGTATTGCTGATTTTGTGGAAATATTACAAATACTTTTATTAATATTTCTGTGTGCTTTTCAGCTTTTAATATCCCTGAGGATTTTGCAAATTCTAGATTGTAATACTATCATCATTGTCCTTATTTTTCTAAGTTGATATGACAGTATGTACTGTTTTCTGTTCCAAACATTTGGTTAGTGTTAGTGAGTGTTGTTAAACAGCTGATCCACTTCATCCCAGAAGATAGACATTGTAGTATTCTGGATACATGAGGAAGATATTTTTATCTTTTCCTGATAGTCAGGAGTTTCACATGCAGCTAAGTGTAGCAACTGGTGAACATTTTGAAGCTCTGCTCCCTTTCCAACTGGGGCAAAAAATGAGGATTCAGAAGGAAAATAAACTTACCTTTAAAATACAGGATAAAGAGAAACTTGTGTAGTTGGAAGGTACAGAATCTTCTTCCTTTGGGATTAATTAGAATATGTAAACTAGTACTCATATTCTTTCAGGAAAGGGGACAGAATAATTTATGATATCAAGTAGTCAGGGACTTTAGTTTTGTGTGAAATTAGGAGCGAGATTTAGACAAGCTTTTGTGGGTTTGGCATTCTGCCAAAAATGTAGCTCATTGGGGTTGTTTTGCTTTAGCTACAGCTGTTCTTAGAAATGGAGGCTGATTATTTTTACTGGGAAAGTACATTCCTGCTCAGCTTTTCTCATCTGCAGCCCACTCAAAATTCACAGGTTGTAAGAGTTTCCTTGGTTGTTTTTCCATCCTGAAAAAATGCGAAGTTTATTTTTTTTAAACTGTTTTTTCCTTTTACTATAGTAAAAGAGTCAAGCTTGCAGGTTAAACTAATTAATTAGCTTGTAACTGCGAATGGTTACAGAACAGTAGAAATCTGGTAGAAGTGGTTGCTTGTGTATCCCACCAGGAATGGGCTGCCCCATTGGTACATTTCAGCTCTGCTGTGAGGCCATGGAGTTTGAGGTGGGATAGGAGCAGAGAGCTAATGGAGCTAATGAACCTCACATGGCAGAGCATTTCTGAGGGAGGCGAGGCTTCCTGTCCTACTGAGGATGCATGGCTTGGATTTGGGAAGAGAGGGAAGCAGCCCCAGTGGGCAGGTCTTGCTGAAGGCAGCTGTGAGAGCCTTGGTTCAGCAAACTGAGCAGCTCCTAGCACAGCCCTCCTGGTCAGCCCTGGGACTGACGTCTCCCTCTGGGGACATTGCTATTCATGTATGGCCAACGTGGATCCCTGTAACCTCAAAGTAGAAAGGGATTGCAGGCACTTTTCTTCATATTGGCCCTGTTAGTTGCACATTTACCAGTGGTTGCTCTGAGACAAATTCTCTGGATCTGACTTTGGGTCAGTTATTCTTTTGTAGCAAGGAGGACTATATGGAACATTCAGATCTGGAGACATGCTAGGTTTGGACTTTGGGTTGAGATCTTTGACCCCAGGGGTGTTGTCAAGCCTACATTCATTTCTGGAAAGGAAGTAGAGAGCTTTAGCAGAAGCTCGGGTTCTGACCCACCAAATAGGCAGAACAGCTCATTAGGACCACAACACCTACAGTGAAACTGGAAAATAACAATTTGATGGGAACACCGTTTCTGAAAGTCAGTGGAAACATAAGTAACAAAATAACAGCTAGAGACCTCTTTTTACTTTTCTTCTAGGTGACTGGTATCCCTGATGAACAGATCCTGGTAGCTGTGTTCCCTGGGCTGCCTACTTCTGCTGAACTCTTCATACTGCCCCACAAAAACACAACAGAGAGGAGGAAAAGCAGTGAGGCGTCTCTGGAGCAAGTAAGGAGAGGAGGATTCATGGAACATTTATTCCTGTCATATTGTTTGCAGATGGGCTTCTGAAGCTGCACAGCATTGGAAGTACTTACAATAAGTGTGGTGGAAATGGATGCATCTGGGACTGTGGCAGTGTAGTTTATGGCATTAAAGAAAATTATTTTCAGAGGAAAACCAGGATTTTCTAATACCTCACTGAGATATGTCACAGTCTACCACTAGCAGAGATTCTTCCTAAATCAGTGGAGTGTCCTTTATACAGTAGTTACAGCCAAAGGAACCTTGAATATGTACTCCCTCTACTCCCTGGAGGAATGCTAATAAAAGGAGGCCAAAGCAGCAAGATAATATACTGAGGTTTACTAAAAATAAATCAGACTCTTCTCATAGATCACCACAACAAGACCTCTTTTTTTTTTTTTTTTTTTTTTTTTTTTTTTTTTTTTTTTATTCTGCAGCAGTGAACGGCCTGTGCAAACTATATTTGGAAGTTACAAAATCCATCCATTTAGATAAATAGGTAATTACAGTGATGTATAGCAACAGTGATATGCAGGCAAGGAAAGAACAACAGCACTAGGCTGCTGGAGCTTTCATGTTAGAATTACCAAGTGATTAAATCAGGTCTATAAAGGCAAAGGAGTGAAGTACTGCTGGAAAGGCTGCTTGGCTCTAGCTAATGTTCTTGCATGCAATATTTTTACAGTGTGCAGACTATGTGTGAGCCCATTGCCAAGTAACTCTTGTAAGTTTGGATCAAACATTAAATTATTCAGGGGACTAGCGAATTCAGTGGAAGTTCTTGTCACCCACTGATAAAGTCAGTCCCTGCAGAGTAGTTCCTTTGTCCTAGGAAGTTATCAAAGCTGGTCTCTTAAATGTCTGGTGGTCAGTGTTCAGGAAAGATGCATTGAGGTGGGAAGGCTTGAAAGGCTTTTTGGAGGGATGGTCTTGGAGTAATTTTTGTCCTGTACAGTAGGATCTACAAGTATTAAAACTCCTTCTGAACAAACTGTTGTGTCAATATTTCATGTATCAGTGTTATGCTGACATCTCAGTTAGATTTCTGACTAATTGACTATGAGGCCTAAAGCACTAGTGCTCTCATTTTAGTTGACAGTCTCCTCAGTTGTTCTTTGGCACTTGTTCTTGCCTTCTGCTTGAGGAGCTCTGCCTGGAGAGTAGGTCATTAGAACTACTCATTAGCTGTGCCCTGTCCATCAGAACTACTCTATGGAGATCAGGCATTAACAAACTGAGGCTCTGGGGCAACCAAATAACACATCAGAGCTGGGTTGCTGATCTCCAACTCAGCAATTCTGGTACACCCAGTCCAAGGCCCCTTTTCTAAGTGAAGGACAAATATGGCAAATTTTCCACTGACCTAAACTGGATTGTCTCATCCCCAACAGCCTATTTAAATAGAAACTACATGACAGAATCATTGGGAAGAAAGAAATGTAGGTCTGGACTGCCTAATTTAGTTTTGTTATCCACCAATGAAAGGCCAATATGTCAGTGATTTCCAAATGCATTTGATCGCACTCAAAGGATATTGTGTAAGGTGAAAAGGTCTTTAGTTATTTTTCTTCTTCTCATAGCCCCCAAAAAAGAAAAACAAAATTGCAGACCTTGTAGGTTTGCTTCCCAGGAGAGATATAATACCATACAATGAGAGTCTCAGAAGTTCTGTAAAAGAGACTTACATGGGATGACACCCAGTTCCACTAAAGCACGCGTGCATTTCTCTCCACTTCCTCGGGCCCTGCTGAAGCCAGTAAGAGATGTCAGCCACTATTCATGGGCTTTGTGTATTCCTGAATATTCTTCAGACTTTGCAATCTTCTATACTTTAATTGTTGGATCTCTTCTTATTTCATCAGGTAGTAGAAATCCTTTTCAATGCTCTCAACCAGAACCTGGTCCAGTTTGAGCTGAAGCCTGGCGTTGAAGTGGTTGTCTATGTTACTCAGTTAACATTAGGTGAGTGTGGAGTCAAAGGCACTGCTGTGGTTCTCCTGAGGCTTCAGACAACTCCATGGGAATCAGTCTACATCAGAGCACTCACACTTTGGCATGTGGCACTGGGCTATGTGCCAATTGAGACATTTTGGTAGAAGCAGGAAGTGTTAAAACCAACCCATCAGGGGTATCTTCATGCTCCAGTTTGTACAAGTATAAAAAGTACCTTGTAAGAGTTCCCTGTGGCTTAATTAACAAGTACATTGGTGTTTTTCAAGTGTTTCAGAAAACCAGGTGAATGGTCTTCTATTAAGTCCTTATTGAGCACCTGTGGAATTCAGTGGGGTATTACTAAGTTTCATGGATGTTGGATCAAATCCTTACAGCAAAGGGCTTGTTACTGTTATGGCTAGCTAGGAAGCTTTAAAGGGGCAAAGTATTCAGGAAAAGATTGAGGTCTCTTACAGGGAATATGTGCCTGAATATTGACTTCCAAAAATGAGAACTTAAATTTCAACGCTACCTATCTCCATTTTTGCACAAAGTAGCAGAGTCCATTTAAGCTTTGCTAATCCCTTTACTTAAACCAGCCTAGTGTGAAGGTCTCAGCTATTGATGAAACAGTGATGGTTACAAAGAAGGTGATGGATTTATTTTTGCCCTTACTTTTCATGACTATCCTTGCAATTGTCTGAAATGTGGGATCTTGTGCGAGTGCCCTTGCTGATAGCCTCTCTGAAAGATTGGGATTCATACCCCAATAACACACTTCAGCTTCTTCTCAGAGAGGAAGCTAGGCTAAGTCAAGGCTCATGACCTTTCCTACAGGCAATGCCTTTTTACCTTCACTCTCTAACTGCTCCTTTGGAATGTGAGTCAGATGCTAATAGGAGTAGCCTGAAATGGATTAATTTGCAAAACTGGGAACGTGATACAATGTCTGAGGTCTCCAGGTGGCTGGAATTCTCAAGAATCTGACTTGGTTCTAGCAAGGCACTGCATTTAAATTACATTTTGCAGCTATTCTTGCCCCCTCTCAGTGCAGGTGCTGCATTTGTTTCTTGACCATTTCCGTAGTGTTTTGATTTGAAATGACAGTCTTTTCCACAAAAGAGCCAGAAGTATTAGCAGCAGAATACTGTCAGGATCAGACTGTTGGGCTTGGAAATTTGACAGTGTAATCAGAACTGGCTGTATTTGCATGACTTTGTCCCTGTCTTCAGGGTGATGGAAAAAGAATAGAGAATAGTAAAACACCAAAGCCAAATATTTATGCAAAATGAGAAACACTCAGCTGCTACTTATAATCATTTGTGCATCATTAGAGACTTCTCATCAGACACTTGATCTCAGCACAGTGCTCAGGCCATTAAGATGGTGTGCTCTGATGAGCTCTTGGAATAGCTGCATAAACAAGGTATAGGAATATACTGTATTTAGCCAGCCAAAATGTCAAGGATCAAAATTTCCAAAATATTATAATGTATTGTGTGATTGAATCCACTGTTATTGCTTTGGGCTCCTCCACATTATGAAAACTGACTCAATTTAAAATTCTCTAAGGTCCTGTATGAGGATGGACCTTGATGCTTGTCACAAGAGTAGGTCCCTGTCACACGTGAGATAGATGAATATCCTTGGAAGATGGGAGTTGTGCTGTTCATTGATGCTCTAAGGTATCTTCTCTGAAGGGGAATAGATATGTATTAAGCCATGCTTCATAAAATTCATTTCCACTCTAGTACCTGGAAAAACCTGAAAAGTAATAGCCCAGAGAGTTAATACAGGAGTGATTGGGCATTCAGCTGAGCGTGGCTTGCTGTGCCTCTTCACTCAGGGATGTTAGACTGCACTGTCTTGAAAAAGGGCCTTGACTTGAAGGACAAGACAACCAATTTGTTTCCCACTGATTGGTCTTGCCAAAACCAGCATGCACCATGCAGTAGGGATAAAGCAGATGTGACAAAGACAGAGTTGATCTCAACTCTTGGTACTTAATGTGTTGCCTTGTAATATCCCTGAAGTGTGATGCTTTGCCTTTCCTCCTGCAGCACCACTTGTGGATTCCAGCTCGGGTCACAGCAGTTCAGCAATGCTGATGTTGTTGTCAGTGGTGTTTGTGGGCTTGGCTGTTTTTTTAATCTACAAATTCAAGAGGTAAGTTGGAAAACTTTGAGGTGGGAGGAGGAGACTCTGGGTGGTTAACAGGAAACCTAGGCAGAGCTGTGCCTGAATTGCAAATGAAGAGTGAGCTGTGCTGGGCATCTGGCTTCGATGAATGTAGCTCCCTATGTCTGCTGCTTACAGAGGAAACCATCTACTGCTGTTTCACCACAAAGCTGGTGCTCCAAAACATCACCAAGAGCTCAGAAATCATCTTCTGCTTCAGATTATTTAAACCACAGACCAGAAATGGGAACCTTTGTGCTCACTGAATACTGAGAAACACAAAGCAAGCTTAGTCAAAAACCACATGATGGATGATTTCACACAGTCTATGCCCACCTGCCAAGCTGCCTTTGTGCAGCAGCATCTCATTTCTATCTTGTAAAGTGAATAGGTTAATCTTGCAGAGGAACAGGTGTGTTTGTGTTAAAGTTGGGAGACTCAAAGCCAGAAAAATTTGTGTAAAGCACCAAAATGCCTTTGGGAATATGTGCTGAGATTTACCATGACAGATGTTAATATAAACCTTTTGCTTCCAGACAGCAGGCAGGACCAGGTCTGGCCTGTGGCACTTGGCTGCTGCAAGCTGTGAAACAAAATATGTGATAAGAATGGCCTGTTTGCTGAAGGCCTGCTTTATGAAGATATATTTTAGGCAGATGGAGCTCCTTAGGAGAAACTTTGCATTCAGTACAGTACTTACAGTATGAAATAGTCTGTGTGCCTAGATCCTGACCAGTGGCCAAATATTGTGTTAGAAACATAAGCCAAGTCTGCCTTAAAAATTAAATAAATAAAACTTTCTGGACATAGTAGTTCCTCTAAATGAAAAACTAGCACTTTTCCTGTCCAGATTCCAGCTAAATGTTGCTTTCTCCAGCTTTTCTGCTCTGCAGGATAAGGCTAGTATTCTCTAAGGATGCTAGAGGCATGCAAACAATATTCAAAATTAAATTATATGATAAGACAAGCACCTATCCTAATCTACAGGTTTGAAGTTTCCCTCCTTGCTAACATCTTGCTTTAACCATTGTCTTAATTAGTGAGTGGCACTCCTTGTAGTGCTTGATCCTGTGCACACTGCTGTTATCAATCTCCCACTGACTTCAGTGGCCCAGGACAATTTCCAGGGAAAGCATTTGTGTAACTCTGCTCAGAGGCAGATTTCAAAGCCTTCAGCAGGACCTCCTTTTTCAGCCTGAAATCCCCTCTGCTTCTGTGAAGTGACTACAGCTTCCCAGGGGAATGGGATTTGTTTAAGGCATCAATTTAATAGTGTGCTGGGGAGGAAGCTGATGATTACTCTCACACCTAGACGTAGGATGAGGAAGGCAAAGTCTTTCTGGGAGATGTGACAAGCTGTAGGTACAGCCCTGCATAAGACATGCTTTCCCTTATGTCTTGGTGAGATGGTTTCCTAGGTTTGGCCTGATGTCCTTGGCCCTGTGGTCAGCAGTTACCACTGCTGTGGTTACCACTAGCATCTGAAGAAGGGTCTTTATATTCCAGCTGCCAGAGAACAGTGAGGAGATTAATGCACTTTGCTCTGGCACTCTCTGCCTCATTTTCTGCTACTACAGCACATAAAACTGACTCTTGTACTACTTAAGCAGCCTGAGCTTTGAGTACAGCAGCCATCAGCCTTCTATTATGCTCTAGGGCTATGGAGATCCTGCCTTGTTAAAATCTGTCTGAAAGTTGATTGTATGACAAATTGGGAGTGAGGAGGAAGGTGGTCAAAGCATCAGTTTTGCTTAGTCCAAAAGCTTATTAACTGGCTTATCTCTCTGTCCCAAAGGGGAAAAACCCAGATCAAATTGACAAAGTTTAGGATAAGTCATACACAGAGTGTTCTCAACTTGATTTTTCAGAACAGAAAGCAACTTTTCAGCTCTGTCTAAAACCCCTCGCTCAGTGGAGCAGAAGCGAGAGCATGCAATGATTCTTAATGGAAAAAGGGGAGCAAACCCAAAGGCTTTCCTGTGGCTCTCAGTGATGCACAGGTACATTAGCCACTGATTAATGGTGGTCCCAACCTGAATATAGAACTTCTGCTTACTGGGAAAGGTTATGGGAGAGCACAGGCTGACATGATTTTTTAATTCTACGAATTCATAGATTTGGTGCTTTGCTGGTTTGCACACAGTCTCCTTATTACAAGTCCATCAATTTATAGACTCAGCAGGCATGTTAAACACTGCTGCCAGAGAGATGCTTATTGAGGAGGTCCCAGTGGAAAAGGAAGGAAGAGGGAAAAAGTATGGAAATAATCTGTAAAAAAGTTGTTTATTTTCTGGAAGATTGAGCATACATCAGTCAATACTGTGTATGTATGAGTGCTGAGCAGTGGTGGGGCTGTGGGGCAGTCCATGTGCGTGCCCTGGGACAGCAGTGCAGGACAGAGTGCTTGTGTGTGCTCAGAGTGATGTGGTTGTGGCCCCCTGTGTCTGTGCCGGCAGGCACAGCAGGATTAGGTACTTGGGTATGCATTCACATATGTACAGCCATCCCAGTTTCTTTTTTCCCTGACTCTCTGAAGTACCTTGGCTCTCTGCCTCACAATTCTAAAGAGCTTTTCACCTTTCCATGTGAAGTTCAGAGACAATCACTGCTCTGCTATTGCATTGTTTGGACGTAGGACTGTCTTCTACTATCTCCAGGCATGTTCTCATGTCATACATCTCCAAACAAGTTCTGGGCACTTAGATCCTATGGGAATGCATTAGTTCTCACTCATTTCCTGTGTAGTTTCTATATCTTCTGGGGCATTTACAGCATATTTAAACATTAGAAGGTAGGAGAAAGGGAGAAGATCATGAGATTTGTCATCTGCTGCTAAACATCCCTGGCTTGATGCTGGTTAAGAACAGAATGCTAAATCAAGCCAATAGCACAAGTTGGTTGAGGCCAGAACTTCAACAGAGTAAAATCAGCATAGATCTATTGAATTCGTGAGAGCTGAGGCAATTTCCACTGCTTTCTGTCTCTGACATATCCAACAGCAGATAGATCAGCATCAAACTGATCATATAGAATATGGAATTTTATATTACTTCTTTTGAACACATCTTCTTTCTCTCTCACTCCTGTGTGCTTTAAGGAACTCAAAATATTCTCCAAATTTTCCTTATTGGAGCAGTGTGAACTGCATGGCACGAGAACTTTCTAAGAGCATTAGGAAAAACCAGTCAACTTCCAACAGGCAATGCAGATAATCCTGGCAACCCCTATGATGCTTAACACATTCCTTTTCAGGTCTCTCATTTAAACTTGCATTCCTCCAGGGATTACTACCTGTCTGTCTAGGCCTGTATAATCTGTCTACCTGACTGACTCTCAAAGATATCATTCTAGCAGGCCAAGGTAACTTTGCCTGGGGGAAGGAGGAATAATCCCTTCATTTTCTTGGCTTCCTGAGCAGCAAGGAAAAATAAGTCCCTACAAACTTGCATGATCCATAGCATGACAAACTGATTTTTGCAATGGAATGGTAACAAATGGAATTTGGATGGGTGTTATGAGGTCCAAATCCTTCCTGACTTTGAGGCAGGAAAAATTCTTTATAACTCTTTCAGATGTGGCAATTTCTTCTGAGTCAGTGTGGACCTGTCAGCAGCAACAAGCCCAGCAATTTTTTTGTTCCGTTGATACTAATGCCAAATTGATTTTTGCTTTTGGTTTCCAATGCAACCCTGATCATACAATAAATACTGAGAGAGTTGACAATTACAGCTGATTGTACTTAGTTAATTGCTGCTGTCTGAGCTGAGTGCAGTGTCCACCGTGTGGACAATTTCTCATTTAAAAGGGCAGAACATTGAAGTTTGCAGCTGACGAAGACTTTGTGCACATGATGTGAAGACAGTGGCCTGAGATTTGGAATACCTTTGGCTGCTATTGGAATTGGTAGATGCTAAGGACACTTTCAGAGATGAACATCTGTGTGGTACTTTCACCTTTCTAAGAACTCATACTTTGCATCACTGGTCTGGTATTGGTCTCAGCTTAGTTTGTCTCATTAATAAATGACATGCTCAGGATCCCTGTGTTACAAACCATAACTTCTCATTTTCCTTTTCTGTGCAGGAAAATTCCTTGGATTAACATCTATGCCCAAGTTCAGCACGACAAGGAGCAGGAAATGATTGGCTCTGTCAGCCAAAGTGAAAATGCCCCCAAAATCACCCTGAGTGAGTTCACAGACCCTGAGGAGCTGATGGACAAAGAGCTGGACACACGAGTGATGGGTGAGAGACAACCCTCAGCTGAGTTTTGTTTCACAGTCTGGGTGAAGACTTTGGTCTTTTGGGTATTAGGAGAGGCAGTGACTGTGACCCTGGGTAAAAGTAGAGCCCTGAGGCACTGGGATAGGGAGTAAATCTCTCTCAGGAGCAGGATAATGGAGTTTCTCTTCTAGCTTTTCAGCTTTTCCCAGGGTAGGAACCTGGCTCCAGCAGTAGCTATAAAGAAGTTAGTAATAGCTGTGGCTCACACCTATTCCTGCTCATGACCCTGCCTCTCTTGTGGAGGAGTGCCAAATTCCCTGCGCCCTCAGAAGAATCAGCTGAGCCAGGCTCACAGTGTTGGTGTGCTGTGATTACAAGCAAATATGTCCTTAATAGCTTAATGAGTTTACTGCTGGTCAGCTGAGCTGTAGTAATTGGGTTTTCTGCATGCTCCCTGCTTATTGCAAATACATAAAAGAATGTGTTATGTTTAAGCATCTTTTCTGTCTTTACACTTATGCTACCACATCCTAAAGAGTGAGAAGCAATATAGACCAAACTGTTGAAGCCACTGCACTGATTCTCTTCTCCATTTTCTCCTCCACAGGAAGCATCTCAACAATTGCCAACAGTGAAAGCACAAAGGAAATCCCCAACTGCACTAGTGTTTAATACTGAGAATCCACTTGGTCTACAGCATTTCTGAATTTTTATTTGTAATTATTATTGTTATAATTATTATTATTATTATTATGAAAAAAGAGTTATATGTCACTATTATCATTTGAGAGGGAATGGGGTGGGCTTTTTGTGTTTACCAGGGCTGCATTCATAAATAGCAGAGGTTCTTCATATTTAGGGAATACACATCAGATTAGAAATAAAAAGCAAGAATGAATCAAGTGTGCAATAAGATTTGATGCCAGCTTCCTGTTACATACAGAATGGCAATTAAGTATTCAAATCCAACAGATAGGTGTCGTACCTTAGGCAACATGTTGTAAGTAAATTGTCCCTTTTCAGCCCTTTTCAGAATAAGTCATGAATCAGCTGCTACATCCTGCCAGAGGGTTCAGACTGGGTTGTTGGACCAGGCTCTGCAACATGCCAACATCCCTCGCTTTCCAGTGACATGCATGTCTCAGCTTTTTGCAGGGTCTTGCCTCTTTTAATTGCTTTTCATTTCAGTCACCCTCTGGCACTGTTGACTGCTGAGAAAGGAAAAGACAAAATCAGAGCAAACACTCATGTCAGTGTTCCTTGGACCACAGAGTGGCTGGAGGGGACAGCACCACAAGCAGTGGAGGAGCGAGCCTGAGTTTATGAATGCAGCCCAAACCCTGTGCATGTGAATAGCGAGGATGCCGAAGGCCTATTGTAGATAATTACAATGTACATAGCTTTTTATTTCTTGGGAAATAATTTAATGTTTAGTAAAAGAGGATATGTTTAAAAGAAAACCTGAACCACACACACACATGCACGCCCACGTGCACACACACACACACACACACCACGTACACGCCAGCCAAACAGGGACCCTGGTGAGCACTTGAGTCACACTTTGGTTCCAAGTGTGTTCCAGTTGTCTGTCATATTTCAATCTGACACTGCTCTCTATAAAGAGAGTAGTTTATTTCTCTATGTATAACTGCAAGCATTTTTTTACATATATATATATATATGGTGTCATTTCCTGTGATGGAACAGAAAAAGATATTAGCAGCCAGACTATGAACCTGTCATAAATATTTTAATGACGTTTATCATCTGTTCATCCTTGTCACTGTTGCCCACTTCTCAGAATGATCTTAGTGGCATCTGTTAGTGAAAATGAGGAAAAGAATCCTGAAATATTATCACCATCTTTGTGTAGGTAAATATCAGCGGCCTTGCCATATCCAACACAACCTCAGCTCAACCGTGGGGCAGGTTGCAGTAGCTTTATTCCCTGGGGGAAGTCATGCTTTTTGCCATTCAGCTGATGAAGTGAAGTGCTATTTAGGACGTGTAAGAGTAGTAAATTTTGGCTGAACATGATGTATGCGATTAGGGACTGCTCTTTGGAGAGGGCAGTGGAGGGTCAGACCTGCATTAATGAGCTGTGAAAGGTTCTTTCTTGTGAGTGCTGCAGAATGGCAGCTTCCAGTTCAGAGTGGAGATTTCTGCATGGTGGGTTGGTGTTTTCTGATTAGAACAGTGAGGTTAATGAAGAAAAGATATTGAAAAAGCTCTTTAGAAATTTTTTCCTACACTGAACTGAGGTTATCCCTATGAAGAGGTGGAGTTTTGGGGCAAGAGGTTGACTCAGTTGTGGGTTACTTATTATCCGTTTTTCTTGAGTTGATGATGTCAAAAATGAATGTTATTCTGCAGAGTATTGACTTGTAGGACCCAGCAGGAGAGAAAGGAAGATTGGGGGCATGTCTGGGAAGATGTTCTAGTTTTTGTGTGCTAATAGGAGGCAGAAATGACAGCAGATGACAATGTTTGTTATAATTTCTTAGGATCTGGGTACAGGACTTCAATCACCTTTAATATACCTGGGCTGAAGTGAGGAGATGGGTGGAATTTAGGTGTTACTTGCTATCTCTCTGCATTGCAACAGGCCAGTGGGCTACAAACCAGCCTCAGCCACATGTGTTCACTCTGTTAGTGAGCTGGAGTGTCTTTCAAAGGTTAAAATCTTGGTGGCTCTGCAAGTGGAAAGAAAAGTGGTTAAACACAATTTTTCAAAACTCAGGAGGTGATTCAAGATTAAAATTGTAAACCTAAAAAATAAGGAAAAACTGTTTCTTGAGAAGTACTAAAACTAAATATTTTCAGTTCTTTTCAGTCAGATTTGTATTTTTTGTTTTTTGTGGTTTTTTTTCTGTTGATTTCAAAATATTTCTCTTCTGTTTTCCCCCTCGCTTTCCTGCTCTGGTTTCTAATACAAGGTGAAGAGCGATGGCTGTGTTATTTTGTTTAACCTTGGTTTCCATCCATCACAAATGCATAAACTGTTGCATTACTGTCTCTGTTCTACTGAAACACCACAGTAGTTTACAGTAATGGTGATAAGACTGCTAGCACAAGGCCATAGCTTCCCATTTAGGTATAGGTGGGAGGGCAGTACATAAACAATGGTCCCGTGGGCTTTGAGGTAAAGTGTGGGCTGATCTCAGTCTGCTGATCATCAGGATTTGAGGTACTGCTGTGGTGAGCTGCTGCAGAGGGCTGAATGTGAAATACTCAGTATTTTCTGTATTAACTTTTTCCTGTATAAACCATGAGGCAGTGACAATTTTCATTATTGTTTGGAATTTTATAGGTTTTTCATGGGCTTCATCTCATGTTGTTTTAACAAGAAAGGCAGAGGATTACAGTTTTCACAATTCTTCTTCGTAATTTCTTTTCACTTTTTTTTTACTTTTTATTCCTTTACACTTTTAAAAATTGCTGTTAAATGTCTCAAATGGGAGCAAGTAAGAAGGAAAAACTGGGAGTAAGCTGTTGAAAGAAATGGAAAAAAAATCACTTTTCAAAAAGAAATTTAATCTCAGTGAAGGCTGAGAAATTTCTGAATGACAGTTTTGGAGAAACACTGTCTAGAAAGTCATTTTCCATCCAAAATGATCCTAAAGTATCCTATAAAGCAAAAAAGAAAAATCCATGAAGCCAAAACTGCGTATCAGTAAAATTTGACTGATTCTTATGCTTGCTAAAACTTCTTCCTCCATAAGACTTGGTGGGTGTCACTGCCTCTCAGTGTAGTTTGCCACACACTGTCAGGACCAGGGTGTGGGCTCCAGGCACATCCCCAAGGTGGGAATGGGACCACAATTGCCAGGTCATTCCTGCTTCTTTAGGGCACAGTCATGGCTGATGGCAGCTGGAGAAAGCTTGGGTTCATGACTGAAATCTGCTCCTTTAGAATACAAAAAGGGTGATTACTGCACTCCTGTCTGTCCGGGACCACTGTAAGGTTTGGACTGGGCAGCCAGTCCTGTTTAAAGTTGAAAGTACTGAGCTGCAGTGTTGGCACAGACCGGAGTATTGGCCACTTTTGTCTTGCTGGGAAATAACAACTTGGGGTTGTCATTAGGATTTTTTCCCCTGCAAGTTTTACTCCTGAGGGAAATGTAGTAGAAGCTGTAGATTGTTATTTACCTGAGTAATGAGGGAAATAGGCAATGTTATCAATGGAACATAAATAGCTCCCACACTGTAATTATGTAAAAAGAGCAAATGAAAGAGAGAGAGGCAGAGAGCAAGAGACCGGGTCAGTGTCCTCTATCACTGCGAGCATTTCCCCCGATTAGCTGTAATTTAGGAATAATGCATGATGTCTGGAGACTAGATGCAGATTTTGGTTCTGTGTGGCTGACAGTCTGATATAAACCATGAACAGATCCTTTCTTTAGTTTAACCAGTACTCAAGAACCCTACTACTAAACCTGGAAGGATCAGAGGTGAGACCAGAGTGACAGAGGGCTACAGAGTGTTTCAGACACAGTTGCCATCAATGAGAGCATGTGTAGGAAGTGTGCATTTTCTTCTGGACTAAACTTTGGTTTCACAGATGTCCTGATGTCCTGTTCTCCTCCCTTTCCCTTCAATCAGCTCCCACACCTATTCCAGGTCTAATGAACCAAACCAGAATCCTCACATTCTTTCTGATGATGTTGGACAGTGCATTAAACCCAAACCACCACCGTGGTTTCAAAGGATTAAATGAGACAGACAATTGCAATACCTGTATTGAACACAGTAATACAACTGCATGAGTCATATATATACATATATATATACTGTTCTTGGTTTTATTGTTCCATTTGAATATTTCTACTGTAAAAAAAAGGCAGTGGTTTTGAAATTGTTGAAAATAAATGTATTTTTGTACATCAGAGTTACCCCTGGCTCCTTTTTCAATCCTTGTTCTTTTTAGATTTCCTTTTGGCAAAGTCTACTTTCTCTTCTGAATTTCCCTTGCCATATCTATCCCTCCAACTCTGTTGTTCAGGGTCATGCATGCACATGGAGTGTCAACAGAGAAATGTTCTAGGGCAAGATTTTTAAGATAAAAGAGAAAACAACTACCTTCTTAGTGCTTCCTTCCTTCTTAGTGCTCCTCTCCAAAAATAATTATCTTCTTACCTTTCCATTCTACAGGCTGATTCTCTTTGGAGCCTCAGAGGTGGATAGGAGGGGAGAACACTCTGCTTGTACAAGCACAACCCCATAAATCCCATGCTCTCACCTAGCTGATTTTAGCTTGTAAGAGACTATAAAGTATCAATGTGGGAAAAAAAAAAAAGAAAAAGTTCCTCCACTCCTTGGCAACAGAGGCTGTTGAAAAACAGAAAAGAGAGCATGGAAATATGTCTCTGGATATGTAACAGCCACCTCCACCCATGCACGTGAATGCATACCCCACTTTCCCTCCTGTCCTTTAGGTCTGAGGTCCATAACTGCAGTTGTTTCTGTTTTTCCTTTATGTCAGAAAGCTGAGAAAGGCAGTGAAGGACTGGGCTGGCCATCCCTGAGTGTGGTGTGTGAGGTGCTTTCAGCATCGCAGAAGACCTCTCAGCTTTTGAAATATTTGTGTCTGCCCCCCTTTACAGCAATGATAGTGTAACACTTGTGTTTGTGGGTTCCTGAACTACAAGTTGCGGGCAGACAAGCACAAA